GGTCGGTCGCCTGCAGCCCATGCTGCGCTCAGGGGCTCGGAGGCCGCGGGCCCGAGAGCTTGGCGCGGTCACCGCGGGCACACACTCGCGCGCACACACTCCCTCCGGTGGCTTGCTTTCCGATGGCGACGATGGTCGCGGACACCAAGGGTGCGAGTGCGCGCGTGTTTGTGGTATCCCCTACCCAGCCCCCAGCCCCTACTTTTCCCAGAGGCGGTCCAAGCAGCAGTTGGCTCCAGGGAACCCCCACGTTTGGGGTTTTGTAGGGGAGCGGGGAAATAATTTATGAAATCTCTGCGTGCTTGGAGACTGCTGGCAATGGCCTACGTCGCCACGCCAGGCTCCCCAACCTCGGGCAGACAGATCTTCCTGGATATTTGCCCTCTTTTTTTTTTTTTTTTTTTAATCAGAAATGGGGGGGATCTTCTTAGAGAGTCCTCGGTTGTGAGTGACTTGAAGGGTAGGTAAGAGAACTCGATACATTGAAAACTTAAAATGCTCAACACCTTTATTTGTGATTCTTTGGGATGTGTGCGTTTTTATCTGAGGTGGGTGATTTTTTTTTTTTGAGGGAACATTGCATTAGGGTGGGGGGTTACAAAAGTGGTTCTGCTTTTTAACTTTGCCGGGATGCATCAACTATGGGACCTCTTTTCGAAGGAGATGGATACCGCCTTCTCTCCTCGTGCTGGGTTCAAAGACAGTTTAGAATTACCTCGCGTTCGGCTCCTGGGGCTGCTGTTTGCCTTCAGATAGATTCTTAAAGAACTAGTTTCCATCTACTTCGGAGAGTTCTGGTTTGAAACATTTTTCAAAATACATCTTTTACATCTTGAGTAATGGGACTTTAAAAGGATCTTGTTTTTCTAATCACCTGATTTCAAAGAGTACTTCTTAACAGCAATTACAAAGTAATATTTTAAATTCTAATTCAGCATTTTTCAGCCCCAGCAACTTTAATGAAAAAACAAGGTTTCCTTTTTACTTTTCTAAATAGCAACTGTATCTTAAAGTTGGAATGTTGAATATCCTTTTGTCTGGCTCTGACACACTCCTGGAAAAACCCCCAGTGCCCTTTTTATAGCCCCCCAAAGAAAAGTTAATGAGCTGGTAGGTTTCAAGCAAGAAGCAGGTCCTCCCTCTTGGAAAATATGCTTATAGTCGCCATTGAAGTTGAATGTTAGCCGTGAATGTACTAGCCTTTAATGAAACCAGTTTAATCGTTCACACTTGATCAAGTATAACATGACCAAACAAAGGAAATAAGCCAGCATATTTCTGTAGAGCATTGAAGGGTTTAGTGTAAGTGTTGATGTTGGGTCGCCCTTCCCCCACCCGCCCCAGTTCAAGAGAGAGGGTTGAAAGCTAGGGGGATTTATGACACTGATTGGTTTTTCTGTGCCCCAGGGGTTGGGGACCGGGGTACGTCTCTGTGGAAAGCAGCCATTAGAGGGAATTAAAAGATGCCAGGTTTGGAGCTAGTTTCAAACCTGACAAGGTGTGTTTTGGTTTCTTATTTGGGGGAAGATACCTAAGGTCAAGGAATATGTATATCCACGTATATCCACCCTCCCTCCACACACACCTTGTAATGGCACGTTAATAAGGGGGAGTGGAGGGCGGTGCAGTGTGCCCTGCTGAGGGGAGCTCACTACCACGTGAGTTATTTACGGTTTCACTTGGGAGCTTTGAAACTGGCCCTTGAATGGGTGTTCTTGTGGGGGAGGGGCAGGGTAAATTACCTTTTCTTCGCTGTGATTTAAAAAAAAAAAAACCTTTGTCCCTCACATGCATTTCCTTGCTAAGCTTGAGTTGCAATCTGTGTGGGATTTAGTCGTCAACTTCAGTGAAGAAATTGTAGAATACAAGAGTGTCCCTTCAGAGTTAAGAAAGTTAAAAAGTTTAGACACCAAAAAACAAACACTGCCACTGTAAAACAAAACAAAACAGCACCGGTGACATACTTCATGAAATATTTTGGCCTTTTAAGACTCAGGCACACCTGTTCCTGTCCCTGCTGAGTGGTTTGCTTTCCCTGGCATTGTTAATCTGGCCCTTGTACACAAGATGAAACAGTAAAACTTGCTAGTGGAATAATTATTAACTACTCCATCCGTTACCCTTTCAGGGAATAATCAATAACTTCACTCTTGACTTGAAAAGCTCCAAACAGAAATTCTACTCCTGCACGTCTAGAAAGTGCTTTAAAGAAAAGTTGAATCCGTGAAGCAAGTGGCCGCAGGAGCAGAACTGTGAAAACCTGCACGTACAGTTTTTCCATGTTCTGAGAAAGCAGTCGGTAAACGTTGCTCCACCGAACCAGCAACGTGTTGAATTGAGAAAAATGTCATTGGGAAGCTTTAAAGCAGTAAAGGAAAATTGAGTCCAGGGTGGCTTATTTTGTTAACTTTTTTTTTTTTTTTTGAGACAAGGTCTCAACATAGCCCTGGGTGTTAGGCTGTTATGGAGGTCACTGTAGACCAGGCTTAGAACTCACAGAGAGACCTGCTGGTTTTTTCTTCCCACATCCTGGGAATAAAGGCTTGTGCCACCACACCCTGCCTTTCCTATTCTTATTATTGATTTTTTTAAAGGACATCCAAAAGGACACCTTTCAGGGAGGGCTCCTGTTGCATTGTGTGTGTGTGTCATTTGCCAACAACCAACCCTGGCATCATGAGTCATTTTCGAAGGCAAAGTTATCCCCCCCCCCCCCGTATTCAGTGCTTTTATTGAGTGGAAAAAGAAATTTAAAGAGTTTACAGCATTGCTATAACCACCGTCACTTCGGTATAGGTCTGTCATGTCTGAGTTCAGTCAGGGTTCCACTGGTAATAATCTATCAACTGAAAGCAGCAGGCCAAGTGTCACAGGTGCCTGACGCAGGCCACATGGAAACATAAGCACTCACACAGCACGTGGTTGGGACGGGACATTACCCATCGTGCCGGGTATGAGCAACCCAGTTAAATTTCCATGTCCAGGTGATAACACACTTTATAGTGAGCTGGGCGGTGGTCGTGCACGCCTTTAATCCCAGTACCGGACGGAGGCAGGTGGATCCCTGAGTTCAAGGTCAGCCAGGTTCACAGAGTGAGTTCCAGGGCTCACAGAGAAACCCCCATCTAGAAACTCCGCTCCTCCCCAAAAGGAAAAAATAGTGTCGTTTGACCCTTTGTCTTTAATAGCGGCGACACCTTTTGGTGACATCTTGGGGTGTCTTACTAAGAGTCATTCTGTGAACTAGTAGCTCAGGGATGCTTGGGAAGTTTGTGGTGAAAAGTTTTCGGGGTGCAGGAATGCTTGGTGGGTAACTTGTGGATGTGCTAGTAAGCGTGTCCTAATTTCCTTTGGCTGCGATTTCAGGTTACAGCCCCCTTGGAAAGTAGGGGAAATTTGAGGCTTTCCCCATCCTTATCTTTTGAAGCTAATTTTTATTCCCGTCTGGATTTAATGGAATATGTGTCATAGAGTCATGAAAGGTTTTTTTAAGCCCTATCTCCTCATTTAGAAAATTATATTTAATAATCGCCAAAAACTTCAGAACCACTTTTAAAGGTTTTCAGTGGCTCTTTTGATCATGGTTTAATGAAGAGTATCCAAAAGCCATCAGTGTGATGCTAATGATGGTCACAAATGAATGTTTGGGCCTAGTCTGGAGTTT